GTACAAGGGTATTTTAAGTTTGTGCGGATGTATGCAACATCTGCAAGGACTTGAGATACATGTATTCTTTAAGCTCTTTCTTGGTACGTTGGTAACACCTTATTTTGAAAAGTGGTTATGTGAACAGTTGTCGGATTGTGTCGGCTATTTAATGGTGAGCCATGGCACGCTTTATTATTTGCAATTGTTCACATGTAAATTTCGTTTGTAGCATTCGTCCTTCCATCATTCCATTTTGACCCAAAACGATCTCTTGTCAGAGCTTTCTTCAAAATATCTCCCGATGAGGATCTATCGTTGCGACAAACATCTCCGAGCTGTGTCTACGAACGGTAAAAAAAGTTTGCCTGATTTGAAAACACTATAGCATTCTGCACTAAACGAATCCTGAAAATTAACCCATCAAAGGAAATAGGGACAAATATGTGAAGACGTTGTCTTATGAAATAAAAGCGAACGCAGTCGCTTTTTTGTAAGCCTTTAGTGCCAGAAGAAGACACAAAAAGCCCTTCGCTGCCGCATTTCTGAGTAGATAATAGTCGCGAATACCAAGTCGGGAACTCATGTCTCAGCTCGATTTGATTATATGGTTGCAACTATGACGAGTGCTCTGTCGGGGCCATTAAGCTGCAATCTTTCCCTTCTACTCTTTCTCTGTCACTCTTTCTCTCTCTCTTTCTTCATTTCTTTTAGGCCATCACTATATTACACGTATTGGAGACATCCCGTGACCGTATGATCATATTGAAAAAAAAAAAAAAAATTGCGCCGAAGGCATTTCGAGCTTAAAATTAATTCATTTATCTCCGTAAGAAAAAAAATTGTTAACCAATCTATTCACCATCTATTCACTGACAAGGGACAATGAAATCTATTTCGACTCACTTCTGTCTTATATTAATATGCTTCAAATTTAAAATAAAATCTGAACTATTAACCGATCGTCAAAGTAAAATTTGAATACTTCGAGGAAACAGCAAACAGTCTTAATGGCACAAAGGACTTCCCATGACATTTTATGTATATATTTAATATCATAACAAATTAAAATCTCAATGAAAATTCCATTAATATCTGAATGCAGTTCATATTTCCGTTAAGAAGGTTGAGCTCACGTGGTTTGTTCTTTGATTTTTGGTCTGAAGTAATAGCCGTTATGTAAATATTTCGTAACTATTAACATCAAACAAGCGAATGTAGGATATAAAGTGGACTGGCATCATTTTTTGGCTCAAAAAAAATGACTTATATCCTGAGGAATAGTCGACGATTTGTATTTGCCATGTTTGACAGTAAGAGAGGTAAATAGAAATGTCATTGACGAGGAGCAAGAGCGGCAATTAAAAACCTTACATAGTACCACTGAGCACAACCCACGTTAAATGTTCAATAAAAGTTAGGAATTTTACGGCTTGTGGATAACGCCTCTTATACGAGAGCGAGTCGAAAAAATAGATGAATGCGGTCCATTTTCAGCACAACAAAGTTATATGTCAAATAATTAATTTGAAGCGCTGTTCATGAAAAAATATTAAAAAGTTGGTGGGTGCCCTATGAGGATCTTTCTGGGAAAGACGTATAATTGGAAGGAGTGTAAGAAATACATTAATGTGCTCCTCCTGTCTGGAGGTAATGTCGTCTTAAAATAATAAAACCACGAATTTGTTCTTATATATAAATTTAGAAAATCGATTGGTGTCATAAAAGCCTTGGCTATCTTGAACTGTTCTATTTGTTGTACATATCGGCACAAGCGGTTTAAAGGTTAAAAATCTTCAAAAAAGAAAAAGTTGCCATTACCACAAGTAAACTTAATGTTTTCACTTGTGGTCTTGTTTTTCTTCTTTTGTTTGAAGTTAATGAACAGAAACCGATTTTGGCAATAAATTAATCTTTAATTAATCAGGTCGTAAGGAATAGTATAAAAAGACTAATAAACTCTCTTCAATTATTTCTATTATTTACGTCTAAAAATGATCTCATTATGATCGAGTTAAATGGACGGATATTATAATAGTTTAGGTGATATTTTAATTGACTTCACGAACGAATTGCGGTAATTACAACAGAATTGATAATTAAAATTAAATTGTATAAGAGAAGCGACGTTTGAAAAAAGATCGCCAGATCAGTCAGTCATTGTAAAGCAATGAATATATGTATGTAAACAGAAATACCAAACTATGGCAAACTATTTTGTTACAATTAAAAAGTTATGCAAAAAAATCATAATTTATTAATAACGCAATATCTGTTGAACACAGACGGACAGATGTAGATCATAATAGATTTTTCGAAGAAAATATAAATTTGCGAACATTACTCAGTCTGCTCCTCTGTGTGAATAATTCCTTTTTCTTTTGCATAGAGCCGGCACAACGGCACAAACCCGTTGTCCTTGGCCGAGTAGTGAAAGGCCATGAAATTCTTCCTAATCTCTATGAACATACGATTGACATATGCGATAAAAAAATCGTAGGTTTTCCTTTTTGTTCTTTTGTAGCTTTTTTTTTGGCGGTGACCTGTAAATTTGATGGCGAATATGTATCTAAGTTATCGCATCGCTCTTGCTAAGGCTCTTGTTTCCGGACTTGAATCTTAATTCGATCGGCCCTACATTCTTGTAGCTGGTTGTTGCTTGACTTATGTTGACTTGTTAGTGCTTTAAGCTTGAAAATATTGTAAACTGATTACTTTGAATCTTACGGTTGCTTCTGATCGATGTTCTTCTCTATAATGTCCTGGTTTAAACTTTTAATCATAAAAGAGGTGCTTAATTCGTTTGAATGAGTAGCCAGTGGTTACCCACTTAAGCGGTGTCCAGTATGATGATGTCAAGTATGGTGATGGCTGGTAAATATTACAGAGAAAGCAGAACATTTATCTTCAGAAGATCTCGTAGCTGCCCTACGAGAAATGATTGTAAGAGAAGTTTCGACCTCAATAATGCTTCTCCTGCTGATCAAACTGCTTATTAATCAATCAAGCATATCCTGAGTGATAATTGGCGAAGGGTTGAGACAAATTAATTTGTTTTTCGTTAGGAATTTTTACCGTGGAATTAAGCTTAAGCTACAGGCATTCAATCTGTTTGTTCGTCTGTGTATTGCCGGTATTCTTAAATCTGCAGAGAATCACAGAGAAAGCTGAAACTTGGCATATTTTAAAAATGAGATCATAAAGTAGTCTTGATCGAAGTGCTGATAGTCATGCAAGTATCGTAAGAAAAATTTTCTACAAAATGGTGAGTACGCAAAATCGAGGCCAAGGGTACATAGTTTTCATAATAGCGCTTTAAGATGCTTTGCATTGGTGTTTAGTATGTTGTGTTTAGTTAAGTGAACCAAAACAACTTCCAACGCTTGCTTATTATATTTTTAATAAATATATATGTACGCATATATATATGTATATATATATATATATATAGCCTTCGTCGATATTAGCATTTTAACAATTTGTAAACCATACAAACGTATAAAAAGGATGCATAGAAGAGAAAGGAATAATCAAACAATTAAAATCAGTTTAAAAATAGTTTGTTCAGTTATTGGTTTTCTTATGCTATATACGTCAACGCACCCCCGTCTCATTTCACATGCATACGTAATTTGATTAACAATCTATTGTGCAATCGCATAATAATATTTATCTATGTGTGCGTATATAGATATATATATATATATATATATATATATATACATATATCGGTGTGTTATTAAACATACATAATGATAAAACACATTTATTAATGGTAGAGACTGTAACGATCTGAAATGCAAATGCTAAATATTACCAATTATTGCCCTGACAACTAACAAACGTTTAACAAACAAACAAGCATTCATAGCGACTGCTCCCAGTGCCGCAATCGCCAAAGCGTGCACCTCAAAGGATATACGAAAATGTATTCAATTGCAGGCGCAATAGCAACAGTAACAGTAGCATCATTGCATGTCAGCCATTGTTTACTACTGTACACGTATGTACGTACGTACGTACGTACGTACGTATCTATATATATGTTTGTTTGTTTGTAGGTAGGTAGATAGGTAGCTAGGTAGATAGGTACGTACCTACGTATGTAGCTATTGTCCCATTGTATTGGAGTACGTTCATATAATTCGAATGAGAAACCCATTCAATACGTACGTATAAATTTGTATATATGTGTATCCGAGTGAGTGTTTATGTGTTTATGTGTATGTGTTCCATCTTAACCCAACAAACAAACAAACAAACAAACAAACAAACAAACATTGTAAAATTGCATCCCATGCAATGAACGATAAGCTACCGATTTTATAGAATTAACAACCAACATATATCCACGCTCTCTGTTCGGCCGCCGCTCTTTTAGATATATAGCAATAGTCACCGCCACCGCCACAGCTATAGGTTTACTTGAATTAAATAACTCTAACAGCAAACAATATGCGTGCAAAAATTACAGGCTTACAAACAAACACATATATCCATACATGTGTATGTACATATATGTATGGATGCATATGTAAGTTTAGAACTCGTAAAGATAGAAAAAGTAACCACGATCTGTTTAAAAATCAAAAACACAAAACAAAGGAAATTCAAACGGAGTGCACGAAAACCTACCTGCCTGCCTGCCAATGTATATTAATGCATATGTCTTGTTGTTGTCGTTTGTTATTTTCCTTTGGAAACCTCACATAAGTTTGCGAGTCTTATTAAAAAGAGAAAACCCAAAAAAAAAAAAAAAACAAACAAACAAATAAACGAAAAAAAAAAAAGAAAAACAACGCAAAAAGAAAACATCCTGCATCCCTCTATTTAAAGGGAATCTGTTTGAATTCCATTTGGAAATAAATGGTAATTAGGCGAATTGCGTCTAGCAACTGAAACGTTATGATTCCGGAAAATGGCATAATTTTTTTCTTATTTTACTTTGGCCGACACAAAAAACCAAAACAAAAAAAAAAAAAAAACGCAAGTACAGTAAGAAGGCTCGTTGCATTTCTTACCTTTTTCATTATGCCCGTTTTCCGCTTTGAAAATGTTGTGTAACGGCGTAGTTTATTGTCGATGTATTCCATTTTGATCTTGACACGGCCTTTGGTCTTTTTGCCATTGGCTGGCGGTGATTTTTTATTTTGCAATGAATTGTAGCTGTCATCGATCACATCCGAGACACCAGTGCCACCAGTTGATTGTTGTTGTGATTGCTGTTGTTGTTGTTGCTGTTGCTGGGCACTATGTTGTCCACTGGCGCCACAATTTTCAAGCGCTTGCAATGAGCTCATACCCGCGCCAGCTGAACGATGATGATCGTCGTAACAATCGGAGCCGGCACGTTTCATGCCACGCTGCTGGCCATGCTGGCCATGACTGCCGCCACTATTTGTTAAAGACTGGCATTGCGGAGAGCCCGACATAAGGCCACCCGCGGTACGAGAACCTAGACCTACGCCACTCGCGCCGCCACTCATACTCTGTAGAAGGCCAGCACTTGGCGGCCGCCCACTAAGCACCGCCACGGCAGGCGGATTACCGTACATGTCGGCTTGGTCGGCCAATGTAAGCCCAATACTACTCATCGAGTAGTTGAGATTATAGCGCGAGTCACCGCGCGAAGGATCCATTCTCAAATAAAAGTTATCCAATGCGATGCCGTTAATACCGAGGTCTTAAGTTAATTAAACTATTCTTTGCCCCAAATATCGGTGATAGTGCTTGTTTTTTTCTTTTTTTTTCTTTCTTTTTTTCTAAAGGTTGCAGGTGATTGCTTACAAACGTATTAGAATCAAGCTTTCAGTCCACCGGCAATCTTATTTACGGTTTAACTATTATATTTTTCTTTACGTCCGCTAATTCGAATCCCGTTTTATTTATTATTAACTAGTACGACCAGCACAAATGTATTAAATTTATCCAAAAATAAACACAAACACACAACCTTTATTCTACTTAATGGCATGCAGTGAGCAATTTCAACACCAACGCGACCGCAAATCTTCTTTTCTTAAACAGACAGCTGTTCAGAACAGCTTCATCTACCGATGTGTAAAAACGATTTCGTTACGCTATCACAATTTCAACAAATCAATATCATTTGAATTTGATATATTTTTGATAAATTGTATGAAAATTTCCCTGGATGCAATTATAATTTGCATATTTTTCCACAACGTTTTATCACTTTTACCACTGCAATGCAACACGAATAAATTGTCAGTTGAAAACTGATGGTTGCTGCTGGCGCTGCCTTTGCTGTCACTGCTCTCTGCTGTCAGAATGTTAAACAGTGTTGAAAAGTGTTGAAATGCAACTTAGTAGAGTTGCATTTTTTTGGGCACAATAGCAATAAAATTGAAATAGCGGTCAGGACGAGACGACCATAATAATCGAGTTGGAATTTTTTTATTTTTTTATTTTTTTTATTTTTAGTTTCTTTTCCTTTTTATTATTATTATTATTATTATTATGTCTTCTGCCGTTGCGTTGTTATTACTTGGGCACCTCGATGGAGACGAAAACCAAAATACATTACTTAGTTCCAAAAATGATGAAAAACTATTGTCGTGGGTTGTTAATGTTTGACACTATATGGAAGTTGATGCGACTGCGTTCACCTTCTGTGTTCTGTGTTTGGAAGCACGCTACCGAATACGAAAAATGTTTTCAAATGGCTCTAGCTCTAAAGGCACGTACTAAAACATGTTTTATAAGTAACTATACTAACGCAACGCGATCAGACAGATCAGTAAATGAGCAGAGAAAAGAAACAAAAAAAAAAAAAAAAGAAAAAGAAAGAGATGTTTATTGTTTTTCTCATAGAGAATTGTAAATAACAAGAGAGGTCCGTTTCTTTAAGAGTATTTTAAATAAATTGTGGATTTTTGTTTTTTCTTTAAGAGATGTAAACAGGAATATATATATATATATGGTTTATATACTTTTGTTTGTTTGTATGTCTAGCTACATTTTTAATAAAACGCTAATTAAATCAATCTAATTAGAAAAAATTTAAATGCAGTTTATTTTTTCTTTTTGCCAAAGCACATTCCCACACATACATGAACATGCACATACATACACATACACATATCCATATCCAATCGCAAAGTCAGGCAGGCAATGTGTCAGAAATAATTATTCGTATATGTGTGCGTAATGCATTTATTTAGGTATTCATTCTCTCATAAAATAAACTGGTTTTGTTTGTGTTAACTTACTATGTACGATATTTTGTAAATTGGCAAACAAATCACGAATTGCGTTCCCTTTAGATTAAGGAAAAAAAAAAAAAAAATATTCGTACTGTTGTCTTTTTTTTCTCTCTTTTTTCATTTTTTTTTTTTTTGAAAGAAGACCTCGGAAGATTTTTAAAATTTTTTTTGCTATTTATACGAAGATATGGGAAAGTAATATCTCGTCATTTTTAAAATTGTGTGCGTTAATAAGTGTGTAGCTGTGCGAACGATCTGGTGGTAGGGATAATTTGGAAAACCGCAATAAAATGTTTTTTGATTTAAAAATAAGCAAAAAAAAAAAAAACAAGAGAAAAAGAACAAAGGTTAACTTTAATCCACCACGTTTATGAATGGTGATCGTCGGGTTGTCAAGCGAAAATCTTTTTCTTACTTACACTTTAACGACTGATTATAGGTAGGAAATTTGCACAAAAGATATTCGAAATTAATTTGTGTCGTTCGCTACCGATCATTCTTTACTTGCTGTTATGTTAACATACAATTTAGGCAAATAATTAATTTATTCGTAAATTTTTTTTTCTCATTTTAATAAAATAAAATGCTATCAGTGTTGGATTAAATTGAAATTTTCATAAATTTTCTTATTGCTGCACATTCTATATCGCTTAGAAATGATGTCTGGTACGATAGCTTATGTTTTCTCTGGGTTAACTCCGATGATATTGTCAATACCATTTACATGTCATACCATTTACAGTATCCGCCGACGGAACTGCATCTTTGAACATGTAAAGTGATTCCTTAGATTCATCTTTAAGCATTCTACCTCATGTCGGAACTTATTCTTCTTCCATAGGGTTATCAAAAATGATCAGCTGCTCAACTATGTTCAAACTTTTCTTTTATTTATTCTACCAGAAATCCGTAGATGAACTATCATTTAATCTACGTATATTCTCTCTCTTTTCGCATTTTTCGTGTAATGGGTAGGATGTTCAGCTTTATCTGTAATCTGCAGAGTTAACTTGGTGCTTGTCGATCATCTTGTTCGTTGTAGCTATTGTGTTAACGCTAGCTTGCGTGCTCTGTAGTCATCTTTAATGCTACTTTTTCTGATTTGCTACTACTCTGGGGCAATTCCTTAAATACTTCCTCCTTAACTTTTTTTCTCATCCTCCTATGAGGCTGGATAGTCATAGTGTTGGATAGCTACAATGTTGGATTGTCATTGGCAAGTTGTTGCTTGCAACTAGTAATTTGTAAGTTGAAAGAGTGTTTCCTTATCGTATTAAGGGTATGATTTGTATTATATTTGGTACTATTGATCTTATGCTCAGGAACCTGACGTAAGGAAAGGCTTCGTATATTACGCTAACGGAAATAAATAAATAAATAGTTTCTTATGCTTTTTGAATTAATTTGAATTTACTGCAGCTAAGACGGAGTTCATTGTTAAGAGAAAAAAAGATATCAGGCGCAGTTTCGTTAGTAAACATTAGCACACATAACTAAATCGACCCATTTTTCAATTATTCACCATTCATAGATGAATGGACATTCGGTATTTTTGATGATCTAATTGCCGGCAGGAAATTCACGACAATATCTTAATTGAAAATCAAATTTAAATCGCTTGTGACCCTGTGTTCTATGATAAAAAAAAATTTCGCAATTTTTCACTTACGGCATATGGAAGGTTTTCATTTACATAGACGTTTAATCCATTTACAGAAAGAAATTCTTACAAAAGTAGTAAACTGAACATAGTTCGGTGTAAATAGAAGAAGATATTAATAGATACTCCTCTAGTAAAGGCACAAAAGTAAAGGTTTATTTTATTATTTCCGAAATTTGATGTTATGATGTGATCTGATACCATGATGGTATGCTTAGCGGTAACGACATACGTAAGGACTTAAAACTGTCTTCTAAGTGCGGCTATAAATTGTGTTTTCCTCTCCAATCGATATGACATTAACTTTCGTGATTATGTACATATATCAAATACAAATAGAAAAGATTACCTTTGTAAGGCTTCATTAAGCGTATATAAGAAATAAGTTTATATTATTTAACCATATTTCAAGGTGATGTCTCTCTTTCCCGCTAATCGGCACTAAATGCGTTTCATTGAGATGGCCTTTCAAGTACGCTGCAAGACCCAGTGCTTCAATCTCTGCTCCGCGAGGGGGCATTAAACGCGTTTTGTGTAACCCAGAGCCCCTCTATTCCACCAACTGTTGCTAACCTCGCTTCAAGGAGATGTCTTTGCAACTGTAATCCGCGGCCTCTCTCTTCCACGTTACGTGATGCGCCGATTTACGCCAATTGCTTTAACGCCTTGCAGATTTATGATCCACGGGGTGGGCGTGCAAATTGCGTACTCCTCACCAGTATCTCTCTTCTCTTTTGCTCAATTTTGGAAGAAGAATTTTTATCCTTTTCGTTATATGTAGCGATACGAGACCGTTGTATGATCGGATGTATAAACGAGTTTGATTCAGCTGCATCTGAATTGGGTTTTTTTTTTATGCTTATCGTTTAGAATGGTTGTGTTCTATTTCGTTTGGTTTTCTAAACATCCGAAGTTGACTAATATTGAAAAAAATTAAATAAAGTTATAGCCAATCAAAGGTCGTTGAATTGTGATTCATCTGACTATTTCGAAAAACATAATTCAAAAATTGGAATATTTGAGCGGATAGATAGAGGCCATCAGCCATCCGTTAGTCAAGGTCATAGCCATTAAAAGTAAACTTGCACTGTTCTTGGCTGTGGAAGATCAGCCCATTAGTTGCCCTCTGTCGTTACCGTTGCAAGAAGAGCGCAAGGATGGATTCTGTTGGAATGAGGCCTCAATTAACGTAAATAATTCAAGTCGAATCCACACAGGCTTTAAAGGCATTCATAAATCTTTGGAAGATCGGCCAAGTGCATTAAAGAGCATCATCAATTTTTGACAGGGTCGTTTTGGCATGAAAAGTAAGAACCCATGGGACATATTTTGGCAGATGATACGGACTTGATGCCTTTAGTAATGAAAGAAATTAAGCTGGAGATGATGACAGTGCCACTGGCAATGAAGGCAATAACTTTCAATTGCGTTCAAAGAGGGACAAGATATGCGAAAATGTAAAGACCAAACTCCTGATGACTACCCCAAGCATTTGCGTACTAGCGTTAGTTAAAATTACTACGTACTTCATTGTGACTAGAGAGAATGAACTCGAAGATGCCTTGTTTGATATTAAGTGGAAGAGAAATTATATATTATGAGGCTGATATTGTCCGGAATCGAAAGTCACAAGCATCATATTCATTACATGGCATATATTTCCGGTCTTTGGTAGAACAAATTATATGGATTTTATGCTTCACTGGCGTTCGTGCGTTATTCCCCCATTCGATGAACTGATTCATTCGCAGAACTGGATTTGAACTTAGTGATTTGTGTTAGTGATGTATCGAAGTGATTGAACTAAACGTCTCATGCACGATTTTTCACGTAAGTTGTCTGGTCACATCCTGTCTTAAAGCGCTCAGATGTATATGGAGCAAAATCCCACTTCTATATAGACAAACCGTGCGAATGATGTTTACTATAAATTCCATAAAAAATCCACGAAATTATTTAAAGCAAAGCAGACATCAAATATCCCAAGATACTGATCTTACTCTTGAGGCTAAAAGACATCGATTGTCATACTGGTTTAAAAGATTCTGTTTTACATAAGATAATGATGTCCAGAAAATATAGAAATAGTGCCATGTAAACGTGATTTATTAGACCAACTGAATGAGTTGGGCATTGAGGTTGATTGTAGAATATGGTTCACATAGCTGTGAGAACGGTTCTGTTGGCGACGAGGAAGTTATATCCAAAGCCTCAGCCTAAGTAATCCTGTGTATGATTTGAGAAGACCGTCTTTAAAAATGCGAAAAGCTCTACCAACAGAAAAAGCGAATGTGCTAAGTGCGATCGTTATGGCCATCACGCTAAAAATTACCCTCGACCGAGCTGGAGTATCCAATATCGCTTTAAATGGCCGAATACATTTATAGAGCCGTTAAGAACAGTTAAGATATTGTCTCCAAATTTATTGATCTTGATCATTACTTTTGCAGCGAATGTCTCTTCAAGCCAATGTCTCTTCTGAAATGTAAGTTATAACTTTCTATTACTGTGAGCGCAAGTGGCAATCGTTTCTCGCTT